CTGGTGTGCTCGGACCCTAATAAGACACAAATGACAAATAAGAGACAAAAGACAAACAAAACAAAATGCTGGAGACAAAATAATCACAAAGTGTCAAAACTGTCTGAATGACAGAAACATTTTACAAAAAAACAACAAAATTGAACAAAACAGGACATAAAATCACATAAAACAACTTAGAACAAGAAAAACAAGATGCAAGATGCCCACATAGGAACAAAACTGTCCAAAAGAAACCAACAATGACACACTGAATGACTTCCTCATGGTTGTTCTGTTTACTGAGGAGGACTTTGTGTTGCAGTTAAAATGAGCCACGTTGAAGAAAGACGCCCAGAAGCTGCTGCTGTAGGACTGAAGTGTGTTTGTTTGTCGGTGTGCAGCCTCCAGGGAAGCGTGTTGCCGGTTTGTCGGTCCAGGCGAAGCTCGATGTGTACCTGTGGTTCGGAGCTTGTTCGGACTCCGGTCACATGTTGGACAACCTGCCTGCAGGCTTCAGTCCGACCACAGGGGGCGCCGACGCCAGCAGCCCTCCGACTCACCTGAGATCCACAGGTGAGATGCTAGTACAGCCCAGCTTTCTCCACGAGGGCTTCAAACAGCAGTTACTTGAGTTATGACGTAACATTTACCACGTTTAGTTACTCAAAGTCTCAACAGAACGCCAGAGAAGTGAGAAATCTGGGCTTTCTTTGGTCGTATGTAGATTAATTGTATTATAGATTAATCATAACAGCTGGACTTGATGAGTTCCTTGAAGACGTTCCACCTTCATCCAAGAGGCTTCATCAGCTCTGACTGACTAGTTGGGAGTTCCACATACTGATGTGACTGAATGATCTGAAGGAGACGTTAACACCTGAGTTTGGGTTTTAATTGGGGTTTTGTTGCTCCTCCCCCTCGTTATGTGAGTCGTTAGTGCTCCCCCTGACACAGTGGGGTTCATTAGGGTCTCTGTGGCTCGGTGTGGTTTCATCTTCCTGGGGAGAGTTCTAAGGACTGAGCTGTAAACAGGTGAGAGGTGATGCCTCAGACCTCCACCTCTGCTGAGGGATGGTCTCTCCAGGTTGAAAACTAGTCAGTCAGAGCTGATGAAGCCTGTTGGATGATCTTTAAGGAACTCAAGCAGGTCCAGCTGCTACGATTAATCTACGAGAACATACTTTAAACTCATTGCGTTTGCGTGTCTGCAGAACAGCATCAGTTCCAGTTGCGGTGCCACATGTATCAGGCTCGTGGTCTGATCGCCGCAGACAACACCGGCCTGTCGGACCCGTTCGCCAGAGTCACCTTCCTGTCGCACAGCCAGACCACCAGCGTGAGTGAAGCTCCTTTGTGTGTTTTCATCTGCGAAGGTGCACGATCGGAAATACAACTCTGCTCAAATTTCCATAACGGCAGATTCTTCTGCCACTACAACATTATGTTTAGAAGGTTTTCACGCTTTGCCTTCTTTCGTGGATGTCGACGAAGGTGTTGATGGAATAAGACTGAAGGATCCACGTGTACCACATTTCTCAAACATGCCTCGTAGTTGTTCAACGGTTGCCAAAGAACGTTCAAATTAGATTACACCAATGATGACGTAAACACAGCACCACAGCGCTGTCACATGCAGCACTGAGTTGGTGTTGTGCTTTGTTAATATAAAAATAGACATTCTGTATGGCTGTAGGTGAAGAAAACATCTGACTTAAATGTGTCCTCCACTGCCTTGTGCAGTGACGCTCTGTTCCCAGAGCTCCTGCAACACCCGCCTGGAAGTCCTGCTCTGTAGACATGTAGAAATGGCAACTAGACTTTGATTTTGGGGGAGAAGAAGAAGTCACGGGGAGTCTAGTCTCATTTAACTTCCAGGGAGCGTTGTAGGTGTTGCAGGAGCACTGGGAGCAGAGCAGCACTGCACCAGGAAACCATGTGAACACTTCCTCTGTGTTGTCAGATCATCAGTCAGACTCTGAGTCCTACGTGGAATCAGTGTTTGCCGATGAGCCGCCTGCTGCTGAGCGGAGATCTGCTGAACATCCAGGACGAACCGCCTCGTGTCCTCGTCGAGGTTTACGACGACGACGCTCTGGTAAGACTTGTTCTACAGAGATGATTGATGAGGCTTTGACCTCTGTGGACTGAACCTCCTCTCTCTGAACTCAGGGTAAAGCAGAGTACCTGGGGTCCACGGTGGCGGTACCGGAGGTCCGGCTGGCCTCGGACCCGTACAGCCCGCCCACCCTGCAGTACAGCCCCCTGCACTGTGGCAGCCAACCGGGAGGAGACCTGCTGGCTGCATTCGAACTGCTGCAGGTCAGCATCAGCTCGGCTCATTAAAACACAGGACGAACCGCTGATAGTAACGAAGTCTCCTCACGTTCAGATCCCAGAGTCTGGACTGCAGAGTCTGCCGGAGTTAGAGGAAGACGATGGAGGCATCTTCACGGTTCCTGCAAACATCCGGCCGGTTCTCAGCACCTACAGGCTGGAGGTCCTGCTGCTTCGACGCGTCTGAATTAAGCTTTAGTTTTTGTTTTTACGATTAAAACCTGCGTGTTCTGTCCTGCAGGTGTTGTTCTGGGGTCTGAGGGAGCTGAAGAAGGTTCAGTTTCTGTCTGTTGATCGGCCTCAGGTACAAACACAACACGGACGACACAACTTCACAACCGTCATGACTGCTTCTGTAGCTGCTGCCCCGTTACGGGATCAGTTAGCCTCAAACCAATGAACAAATAGCTAACTAAAAATAACATATAGTTAGCTCAAAGTAAACTAAATGTTTAGGAAAATGTATAAATAGCTCAGTGGTTAGCTAAAACTACTAAATACTCAACAGTATTAGCTAAAAGTAGTATATAGATAAAAATAATCAGTTCAGTGATTAGCTAAAAATAATTAGTTGCCTAACTATTTAGCACTTTTAGCTATTACTTTTAGCCACCTATTTACTAGCTTTAGCCAACTGTTTGTTCTGTTTAGCCAGTTATTTATTATAATTATCAAATTATTTGTTGGTGAAAGTAACGAACTCAGGGAAGCTCGCTGTAGATCCCATCAGTACTAAGACACCGCGGTACTGATCCGCTGGTTGGATCGACTCATCACGTCTACCTGATTCACTCTGTTGGTCTGCAGGTGTTCATCGAGTGTGCAGGTAAAACTCTGCGGTCCTCCGTCATTCAGAAGTACAAGTCCAACCCAAACTTCACCACGCTGGTCGACGTCATAGAGCTGGTATGACTTTACGTCTGAGAAGTCTGCTGTGTTTAAACCTCCTCCTGCCGCTGTGTTGTCGTACTGCAGCAACGCCTCCTGTTGTGTCGCTGTACTGTGTTAACGCCTCCTGTTGTGTTGTCGTGTTGCGTGAACACCTCCTGTTGTGTTGTCGTGTTGCGTGAACACCTCCTGTTGTGTTGTCATGTTGCGTTAACACCTCCTCCCGTGTCATGTTGGTGCAGGAGCTGCCGGAGAACGAACACCTCCACCCTCCTCTGAGCGTCACGGTGGTGGACTGGAGAGCGTTCGGTCGCAGCACGCTGGTCGGAAACCACATCATCAACAACCTGAAGGCTTTTAAATACACTCCACCTCCAGCTCCACCCGCCGCCGCGCTGCAGACACACAAAGCAGCCACATTTACCCCCGGAGCTGCCCTCCTGACGGAGCCACACAGCAGTGAGGGTAATGTCTGGTCTTATTGGTCTTATTTACTACAGAGCTGCATGATCGGCTAACTGCTGCTAGTTATTGTCAGACATCATCAACAGCAGCTCAGTGGGCACTTAGACACCAAACAACCACAAACACACACAAAAGTAGGGACAGAAACACCAACGATCACAAAGAGACACAAGTCATGCAACATGATCACAAAGAGACACAACATGACCGCCAACAGATGCAAAAGTGCTGAATAGAGACACCAACGACCAGAAAGAGATACAAAGATGTATATAACTCTGGAGCTTTCAGTCACATCTCATGGTCTTCATGACTCTATTTACTGATTTGTGGTTGATATGATCAGGTCTGATTGACTTTCTAACCCAGTGTGTTGACTTGTTGGTTCCAGCTGGTCAGTCTGAGGAAGCTGCAGGAACCAGTTCGACCGTCAGACTCAGCACCCAGGATTTCCTCATCACCGTGGAGGACGAAGCTCCGCCTCCAGCCCCGCCCACACCGAAGCAAGAACCCGCCAAGACGAAGGTAGGAAGCCACTCCACGAACCTCAACATCTTCTTCTTTCTCTTCGTTCACCTGCTCGTGTCGGTCTCGTTCCAGGACGGCAGGAAGAAGAGCAGCCGCAGTCGCTCCACCAAACGCAGGAGGCGAACCATCGCCGACGAATCCGCCGAGAGCGTCATCGACTGGTGGTCCAAATACTACGCCTCCGTGGAGAAACAGGTGGAGCTGAGGGTGGAGGTTCATTCCAGAAACATCTAACAGGGTTCTAGTGAACAGAAAGTGAGAACGTGTGTTTGTTTTCAGGCCAAACAGAAGGACGGATCTCCGTTTCCTCAAGTCTTCGAGAAAGGTGAGAACCTGATGGAGCTCTTTGAAGTTCAGCTAAAGTCAGATCAGATTTAGTTTCATATGTAAACGGATGCTCGAGAAGTTTGTAAGATCTGTAATTATATTTAACGCTTGAAGGCTCTGAGCTTTAAAGTTTTGTTAAAGTTGTTATTTTTCTAAACAAAAGCCCAAAAATGAGCCCATTTATTAGCCAGAGACTGTCAGAACTCCAGCTAGACATCCCATAATTTCCCCCTCACACACAAACACACACGTTGTTGTGCGTTGCAGCGTTGTCGTACCACAACATGCTCAGCGATGGAGTCGAGTCTCTCGGTAAGAAAGCAGCTGCTTCCTGTTTACTGGCGTTCACGGTAGTTTTTAACGATTTGCTGTTATTTACAGATTGTCTGTGTTTTGTTGGATTACAGATAATATCTAGTCTGTTTTAGACGGTTCGACCATGAAATTACTGTTTTGTTTTTACTGTTTTTACAAATCAGCAAAATATTGTTTTACAGATATTTGCGGTTATGAAATGAAAAATACTTTTATTTATCCCAGAAGGGAAATTCAATAATTATCTATTTGTTTTTATTTTTTTCTTACAATCCCTTTGTGGTTTTATAGTATTTCATTTTCTTTTAGTGCATTTTTTGTGGCACCGTTGCTGCCAAATATTTTACAGATTTTTATTTCCTTACTGGTTGTCAGCTGGAGGCTCTGGGAGCTGATGGTGTCTTACTGGTTTTGGGTGTTGCAGCATGAACTGCATGGCGATGAAGGGAATCAGAGTTGTTGAGCAGTAGCAGGTTCCTGTGGTTTGTTCTGGTGGAGCTGAAGGGAACCTGCAGCTTTACGAAGCCGCCCACCGACACTCACCGTTCACTCTGTAAAGACGTTTCCCTGCCGTCTCTGTGCTTTGTGTCCTGTTCATCAGTCAGCAGCCACTCAGACGGCGACAAGAAGAAGAAGCAGAAAGGAAAAGGAACCCTGGAGCCCAGCGTCGCTCTACCAGCTAAGCTAGCAACACTCAAGGTGCTTCACTCAAACAAACCGCATGTTCAGGATGAAGGTCGGTTTCACTACCAGCACTTAAAGAACTTGTCTTTGCTAAAGTTCCTTGGAGCACCACTTCTGGTGCCCACAGGAACCATTTCTTGATGATTCTTTGAGGCACCTTTAGAGTTTTTTGAAGCAAAAATTTAAAGAATTGTCTCCCTAAATAACTGTTTTTTGCTAAAAGTCTTCTGTGTACCACTTATGGTGCCCACAGGAACCATTGTTGATGGTTCTTTGAGGCACTTTTAGGGTTATTTTAAGAGAAAGTTTGAATTAATGGTTCCTTAAAGAACTAGTTTTTGTTGAAGTTCTTTCGACACCTTGGAGGTACCTTTAGGATTTTTAAGAGGAAGTTTAAAGAAATGGTTCCGTAAAGCACTCGTTTTTGCTAAAATTCATTGAGTACCATGGTGTTGGTGCCTAAAGGAACCATTATTTTTAAAGGTTCTTTGAGGTACCTTCGGGGTTTTTTAAGAAAACGTTTAACTACTGGTTTCTAAAAGAACCTGTTTTTGTAAAGTTGTACGACAAGGAGCTGGAGACGGAGTTCGGGCCGTTCGATGACTGGGTGAACACCTACGAACTGTTCCGAGGTAAAGCCAACGAGGAGGACGGGGTGACCGAGGAGAGGTTCGTGGGTAAATTCAAGGTGAGACTGAGGCTTCGTGTCCTCTGTGGCTGCCGGTGTATCCTCTGAAACACTGACTCTTCTCCACCTCCTGTTCAGGGAAGGTTCTGCCTCTACAAGCTGACCGAGGACGAGGACGTGGACTGGGACGAAGATTCTGGACACTTCAGGGTCAACAGAGGAATCCCAGCCAACACGCCGGTCCAAGTCCTGATCCTGGTTTACATCGTCTCTGTGAGTCCAGATCTGCTTTTTGGGCAATTCTTTTGCTATTTTTGGTTGTTTTTGAGACGTATTCAACAAGTTTGTAGGCAGTTTAGAAACTCTGCTGCTCAAACACTGTTGAGTTTTGGGATTCAGAGGTTTAATAACGATAATTTCTCTTCAGGCGTCGAACCTTCACCCGGCTGACCCGGATGGGAAGGCGGACCCGTATATTGTTCTTCGACTCGGCAAAAATGAAATCAAAGACAGAGACAACTACATTCCCAAACAGCTGAACCCTGTGTTTGGAAGGTATTAACCAGCTGGTTAAATCTCTACAACAACTCGTTCTGGTCGTTTGTCATGCCGCTCCATCTTTTTTTCCTTGTTGCAGATCTTTCGAGATGCAGGCGACGTTTCCTCGCGAGTCGCTGCTGTCGGTGCTGATCTACGACTTTGACCTGGTGGGAGGAGACGACCTGATCGGAGAGACTCGGATCGACCTGGAGAACCGGTTCTACAGCCGCCACCGAGCCACCTGTGGACTCCCCACAGAGTACAGCCTGTGAGTCAGCTCAAAGTGAAAAACTGAGTCTGAGTTAGTTTAAGTCACTTTCTCTGGGCTTGTACTGTGTTTGGAGAAACATCTTCCAGTTTTGTTTAGCTAGTCTGAAAGCCAGAGGATGACTTTCTGCAGATATAAACCCAGTTTATGTGCCTCTGTGTTGGTCAGTGAGGGCTACAACGCCTGGAGAGACTGTCTGAAACCTTCAGAGCTGCTGTCAAAGATGTGCAGAGAGAACGGCCTGGACGGTCCTCACTTCAGACCAGGACGGATCATCGTCGCCAACAAAATCTTCACCGGAAAGACGCTCTTCATGCACGAAGGTGGAGCCGGAAAACACTGAGACGCTGCTTTGGATTAAAGTATTGTAGGATTCTTAAGCAGCGTTTAGTAAATACAGTCATGAACAAAAGTTTATCTACACCTGTTAAGTCTGGGGCTTCCAACGACTCCTATAACTCTGAGGTCCACTGGCAGCAGAACAGAACCAGAGCATGATGCTGCCACCTCCATGCCTGATGGTAGGTTTAGTGGTCTTGAGGCAATTGTTGTTACAGTTGATTTTGGGATCTATAGCTGCCTTAAAATGGCTCCAAGTGACTCTCTTGATGTGTTCAAGTCAATGGTTTTCTTCTCCAGATCTTTGCTGAGCTCCTCAGACTTCCCCACTGTGGAGTCTGAGTCTGATGAGTGGATCAGATGGTTCTGTTGAAACTGGATCAGAGGAGTCAGCAGCTCGAGTCAATCAGAGAAGAGGCCACATATAAAATGAGATGAAGAACTCTCTCCATCACCAGAACTGATCATTCAAGTTGCTGTATGAATATTTATGACCCAACAGGTTTTGTCATATTTCCAGAAGACCTTTAATGAACCTATGAAAGAACCAAAACGTTGCTTGTTGTTGTGTTTCAGTGATTCCTTCATAGAAAATTCAGAGTTCTAGGAGTCATTGGAAACTCAAGACTGAATAATTAACATGGTCTGTACAAGTGGATGAAACTTTTGTGCATGACTGTGGATGTTTGCTGCACATTAGTTGGTAAAAAAAGATTCAGCCTTTTTCATTTTGTGTCTCATGTTCATTGTTTTGTGTGTCTTGGGGACCGTTTTGTCTGTTTGTGGTCATTCTTTGTGTTGTTTTTGTCCTTTTGTGTTTCATTCCTGTTGTTGTCTGATTGAATGCGCCGCCTGTGTTTCAGCTCAGGTGTTGGTCTCAGCGTGTTGCGTTGCCGTCCGACCATCGGGCGTCTTATTTTTAAACGTTGTGTTTTTGTGGTGATGTTTCCTCTCAGACGAGCCGGTGGAGTCCTACGAACACTTGTCCCTGAAGATCCTGCATCGCTGGGCCGAGATCCCGGCTGTGGGCTGCAGACTGGTACCAGAGCACATCGAGACCAGAACCCTGTTCAACAAGGCCCGGCCCGGAATGGACCAGGTACTTTATCTCAGCTGACTGATCGGGCTGGAAAAGGTTTCAGTTCTGTCTGTATAGTTTCAAGATTTGTGGGTTTTCCAGCAGCAAAAACATCAAATTAAAAAATGAAAGTAAAAGAGTTTGTGGTTCAGGGTCAGGTCCAGATGTGGGTGGACATGTTTCCTGTGGACTTACCTCATCCAGGACCTTCAGTGGACATCTCACCTCGGACACCCAAAGGGTGAGACTCCCCTGAAGGCAGATCTTCAACGTCTTTATGAAACCGTGGATCTGACTGTTTTCTGAACTGACGGCGGGTTCGTGTTCGTTCAGGTACGAGCTGCGGATCATCATCTGGAACACCGAGGATGTGATCCTGGAGGACAGCAACTTCCTGACCGGTCAGAAGTCCAGCGACATCTACGTCAAAGGGTGAGGACGGGCGTCGAAGGACGGGCGTCGATCTGGGTCAACATGTAGATGTTCTAGTTTGATTATCAGGATAAAGGCTTTTGTCTTTGTAAAACCTTCCAAAACGTCCAAATTCACATCCAGTTGCTCGAGCAGTGTTTCTGGCTGAACATACCAAATGATTCCAACAGCGTTAGATGTTTGTCTGGGAATTCAAACCAGATTTTAGCAGATACGTGGTGTAGCTTTGAGGCCATTTTGTGGCTCTTTGCAGTCGCTTAATCTCCATGTTCTTGATACTTTTTTGAGTTAATATCCAGGTTTTTAACACTTTGGTGCAATAACATCCAGGTTTGTGATACTTTTGTGAGTTAATATCCAGGTTCTTCATACTATTGTATATGAATTTCCAGGTTTTGAACACTTTGGTGTGTCAGTATCCACTTTCTTGATACTTGAACTGAACTATTAGCTGCTATCTACCTTAGAAACCAACATCAACAAATACCTGGATTACCAACAGAAAACATTAACAACAACAAAATGTGAAGCTAAACTTGTTGTCGTTCATACACATGTAGCCTGTTAGCTTTCTCCCACATATAACAAGTGGAAAACATCACATTTGCTGTTTGGTCTGCAGCTGGCTGAAGGGTCTGGAGGACGACCGGCAGGAGACCGACGTCCACTACAACTCTCTGACCGGAGAAGGAAACTTCAACTGGCGCTTCGTGTTTCCCTTCAGCTACCTGCCCGCTGAGAAGGTGCTGACGCCTGACAGACACACCTGAGCTTCATCATCAGCTGGTGTTTAACCGCCTCCCCTCCCTCTCTCAGGTGGTGGTGGTGAGGAAGAGGGAGAGTATTTTCTCTCTGGATAAAACCGAGCAGAAGCTTCCGGCCATCCTCATCCTGCAGGTCTGGGACTTTGAGACGCTGTCCTCCGATGACTTCTTGGGTGGGTGTGTTCAGGTGCTTCTGTGCGACTAAAGAGTCACTGCTGCTGTTAAAATCCTGAAGGGGATTTAACCTGTTCAGGTGTGTCCTGGTGCAGTGACGCTCTGCTTCCAGAGCTCCTGCAGCACCAGTGGCCTCCCTGGAGGTCCTGCTCTGTTCACATAGATGGAGCTGGAACCGTGTCGACGAGTTTCATCTCAGGGACGAAGAAGAAACACAGACACACATCTGTTCTGTGTCACTTTTTTAGTCGTGTTGTGACTGTTTGTGGCTGTTTTAAGTCTCTTAGATTATGTAGTTTTTCCTTGTTGTTGTTTTGTGTCACGTTTGGTTGTTTTGTGTTTATTTTGTGTTTTTTTTGTGTCCTTTTGCAGTTGTTTTGTGTTTTTTTGTGTGTTTTTGTGCTTGTTTTGTGGTTGTTTTTTGTCTTTTTGTGGTCATTTGTGTCTTTTTGTGTCCTTTTGCAGCAGTTTTGTTGTCAGTTTGTGGTCGTTTTGTGTTTTTTTTTTTGCCCATTTTGTGTTGTTTGTGTCTGTGTGTGGTTGTATTTTGTCTCTGCAGTCTGTTTGTGTCTCTTTCTGTTTCCGTTGTGTGCTTTTGTGGTAATGTTTCGTCTCTTTGCAGTGTTGTTCTGTCTTTGTGTGGTCGTTGTGTCTCTTTGTAGTCGTGTTGTGTTTCCTTGCTGTCTGGTCTGGGGGTGGTAGCTGCAGACCCTCCACTGGTCACCATGACGCACCAACAGCAACGTCTGATCCCACCTCCTCATTCTGTGTGTGTGTGTGTGTGTGTGTGTGTGTGTGTGTGTGTGTGTTTGCAGGCACGCTGGAGTTGAACCTCCACGGATTTCATCGCGGAGCAAAAACCGCCAAGTCGTGTAAGTCGGACATGCTGACGGACGGCTCGGAGAGGATCTCCATCTTCCAGCAGAAGAGAGCTCGCGGCTGGTGGCCGTTCAGCAAGTCCGGGGAGCTGACGGTGCGCACACAGACACACAACAAACACACAACTCACAGCACAGCGCACGGTCAGAGCGACTAACACGTGTTGGTCCTGCAGGGCAAAGTGGAGGCCGAGTTCCACCTGGTGGTGGCCGAGGAGGCCGAGAAGAACCCCGTCGGTCGGGCGAGAAAAGAGCCGGAGCCTCTGCCCAAACCAAAGTAAGAACCCCAGAAACCCAGTTCACTGAGACGGAGCTGGAGGACGAGTGAAGGCCTGGTCCTGGTCCTGGTCCTGGTCCTGGTCCTGGTCCCGATCCCGATCCTGAACGTTTTGTACATTTTTCACAAAAGCTTTGCAATTTGTGTCTCTTTGGTCAAGTTGGACGCTTTAGCAGTCATTTTGTGTGTTTTTGTGTATTTCTAGGGTCATTATGTGTCTCTTTGTGGTCGTTTTGTGTCTTTGCAGCGTAGTTGTGTGCTTTTAAGGTCATTTTGTGTCTCTTTGTGTTAATGTTGTGTATTTCTAGGGTCATTATGTGTCCCGTTGTGGTTGTTTTTTGTCTCTATGTGGTCATTTCCTGTCTCTCTGTGGTCGTTTCTCCTAAGACCTTTAGCTCTAGCGCCCCCTCCTTCGACCATGCCACCACCTGAACTCTGTCGTTTCCTCCTGCAGCCGTCCGGACACGTCCTTCTCGTGGTTCGTCAACCCGTTCAAGTGCTTCTTCCACCTGGTGTGGAGGAGCTACAAGAAGTACATCATCATCGCCGTGGTCCTGCTCATCACGGCGCTGTTCCTCGCGCTGCTCTTCTACACGCTGCCGGGAGCCATTTCTCAGAAGATCATCAACGGATAACGGTGAGCGAGCGTCAAACTACAGCTGGAGGAACAAACGGAAACTACCGACCAACAGAACCGACCAACAGAACCGTGTGCTCAGAATGTTAGGAAAAAAAAAAACACGTCGTAGCATCGTATGTCGTAAAAACGTGGAAAAAAAATGTGATCTGAGAGCAGCAGATAGTTTCTAACAGACTCTGGACAGAACTGAACCTCAGTATTCTAGTGATCAACAAGGAAACCTTCAACACGGAGCTTCTTTGGGACGTTTTTATTAGAAATGAACAGAGCGTCGGGTTTGACGTGGTTCTTTTCAGAGTGACCTCGGTGTAGTCGGTCTAAACACATCAACAGTCAACATGTCGTGGAGCGATACAGCGAAAGTCTGCACAGGTTCAGCGCTGAAACGAAGGCAGCGGCTCGTTATACATACATATACTATGGAGTATTTAACGAAGCAACGTTTACCTTCATACTGTGAATATTTTCAGTGTTACAGGCCTTTAGAGTACATAGAGGAGGACAACTGGACAATTTTAAAAGCGGTTTCGGACCTTTTCTTTGAGATTTTGTTCACATTTTTAACTAATTTAGGACAAGTTTTGAGTCAGTTTGAATGAATTATTGAGTCATTCTCTTCATGTGAAGCGCTAAAGTACCCAGAGGTGGGTTCAAATGATCCTCTATCATTATACTGATGCTCAGAGTTGGTTACTGACAAAAAGTTTCTTCGGTTTTGGGGATTTTTTGGTCATTCTGGACAAATTTTGAATAATTGTGGACAGTTTTCTGGACTTTTTTGTGATTTATTTATCTATATTTAACTCATTTACGACGGGTTTTGGGTCGTTATGGTCAAACTGAGTCATTTTTAACAAGTTTTTTTTAAACTTGGATCAGTTTTAAGTCCGTCCAGAAAAGCTCTGAGGAATGTTGGAAAACTTTTAGGTGTTGCAGACAGTTTTTTAAAAACATATTGGGAAGACCTTGAGACATTTTGGACCATTTTCTTGTTCTTTTTGGAGAAATTATGAGACTTTCTGGACACCAGAAAGCAGAAAACACATCCAGGCTACCGACGATAGTTTCTACGACTCTGTGTCATTAAACTGCTGCAGAAAAAACACAAACAGAACCAGGTCCAGTGTTCAGACTGAGACACCTGGATGGATGTGGAACTGATCTGGTGTCAGGTTCTACCAGAACCCAGATGTGTTCTTCTTCCTAAATGTCATGTGTCTATCTGCTGTACTGATGAAGTTCTGAGGCTCAGAAATGATGGAAAAAGTCCATTAAAAAGTGAGAAATTTGGTTCTTCAAGGGCCTGGAGCTCTGACATATTCACAGTATGAAGATAAAACTCTGCTTCATTACATAAAGCTACAGCAGATAAAGAGTCAGCTGATTCTGAGGAGGTCAGAGGGGATTTATTGACTGATTTGTAATGAATTGATCCCCTCGTCAGGCCACGACTCACCACTTAGCAGACTCTTGTGATGCAGTCCTGACACGCCTCCATTCATACACATCTACTGGAGCACCTTATTAGGAGAAGTCTGTGACTGCAGCTTCTTGGATGTGACTATTCCCTGGTTTCGTTCCTCCTCTATGACAGCAAACTGAACAATTTTCTGACGTTTTGCAGCCAAACAACTCGATTGATCGAGACAATGATCACTAGAAGCCTTTTAGCTCGGAGCTGCCTTCGTGTTAGCGCTTATGTACAGCGTGACCCGGATTGTTGAGAATCTTTGGACATATTTTTACACTTAAATACACACATACAGACATTTAACTCACATGTACAGCTTCGTATGTTCTCAGTAACTTTAAATATTTTGCCGTTTTGGTTACACAGTGAACACAACGCGATCCAGATCTGCTGCTCTCATTTTCATCTGTACACATGTGTGGGAACAAGTCGGACGTGGATCATAAAGATGCTCAGTAAAGCTGGATTTAAACTCACTGCAGGACGTCTGCGTCCGTCAGGGAGGCGCTCTGCTGCGACAGGCCGGCCGGGGCGAAGGAGGAGGACGAGGAGGAGGTCACAGTGTGTTCGTGAGGAGCCATGCTGGATCCTCTCAGCAGCAGGGAGGAGGAAGAGGAGGACGAAGGGATGAAGGGCAGGATGGAGGAGATGCTGCTGAGGAAGCTGCTGGACTGAGGCGAGGCGGAGCTCTGACTGCTGGGGGCTGAAGCACAAACGTTCATTTACACTCCTGTTATTGTTAATTAAATAAAGCCGTCTCAAAAATCGTCTCTGTGAATAAAACGTCTTTACAAAACAACTACATGTAATTAGTGTTGACTCTACGTGTTTCTGTCTTTTATAGATTTCCTCATTTAATGCTGTAAAAAGAAAAAGTGTTAAAAATGTTAAACGTGATGTAAAAACGTAAGAAAACACGATCGCACAGTACGTCAGGAAAAATGCCAAAAAAATGTTTGTCATAATACAGAATGTTAAAAAAAAAAATCCAAAGATGTCACAGTATAGTAAATAAAAAATGTTTTAAAAACATTATATAACGCTGGAACAGGTGTTTGTTGCTTTGGATAAAAGCGTCTGCTAAATAAAACTCTAGAATTCTGTAAAAAAAAATAAAAAAATTAAAATGACAGTTTTCTGTAAAATTGAAATTTATCAAATTATAGTATGTAAAAAATAAAAAAATAAAACATGTCATAGTATAGAATGTAACAAAAAAAGTCAAACTATATTAGGTTTTAAATATGTAAAAAACAAAAAAAAAATATAAAAATTACAATATAATACGTCTGAAACTGGAAAAACAACAAACTAAATCATAGTATTGTATGTCCTGAAAATGTAATGAAATATAGTACAGCACTGTAAAAGTGTGAAAAAACACGATGCTGTATGAATCCATGATGTAAGAAAACAAAAAAAGTTTAGTTTCCTAAAAATGTACAAGAAAAAAAAAAACAAAAAGAAAACTCTGTAAGTGTGTTATGTTGTAAAAATGTCAGCATGTCGTTAAAAAAGAAAGAAAACATTCAGAAAACGTCGCAGGACCGTTTGTCACACAAATCTGAGATAAGTAGCATCAGAACATCAGAGTGGAGTCAATAGAGATGTGAGAACACGTCACAGTACGTCGCAAAAATTTAATAAAATTTTATAGTATAATGTGTGAGAAAAAGAAAAAATAAACCCCGTTACAGTCTGTATAAAATGTGAGGAAACATAAAAATAAAATGTTTTAAAAAACATCACAGTTTGATGACAAGGGTCAAAAATGTAAAAGTGTGTCATAAACGTGTTAAAGAACGTCGAGAAAATGTGAAAAATAACCTCAATATTACAGCTGCCGTGTAAAAGCTGAAGTTACCTGCAGGAGGTCGGAGCTGCTGGCTGCTGACGGGAAACCCGGTCTGACTGAGGCCTGCAGCGCCACCGTGAGCCTGAGAGGCAGCAGCACAGGAAACACCAGAACCACCGCAGAACGCTGGTCAGTTATTCAGAACCAAACGGTGGAGGAGACAGAACCGCACGACACAGACATGATCTTCAACCCACCTGAGCCTGGTTCAGACAGGCCTGCAGCTTCCTCTTAGCCCTCCACCGAGCCACTCGCAGCCGGGTCTTCTCCCGACGCTCCCGCACCTTCAGCACAACGTCAACACAACGTCAATACAACGTTCATGTTTCACTGCAACGTAAAGTCGTGCAGCTCTGTAGAAGCAGAACAACCATGAAGACAGAACCCAGAGATGTCTTCCTTCTACGTAGGAGGACACAGTTAGAACGACACTAATCATTAAAAACTTGCTTTTTTTAAATTTATGTTTCAAAAATGTAAAACCAAACAAACCTGGAGGCGTCCAGCGGTGCTGAAAACAGGCTTTATGTCAGTCTGTAGCTTGTTTTTGTCGTTTTTTTGCCTCATTTTTCTTATTTTGTGTCTAATTTTTGTCGTTTTCTTTTTCCTGACGTTTCTTCTTTTGTCTCTTTGGGACCGTTTTGTGTCTTGTTTTTGTCATTTCGTGACTCGTTCATGTCGTCTTGTGTCTCTGTTGTTTTGTCTCGTTGTGATCATTGTTGGTCTCCCCTCTGTCGGTCTGACTTGGTTGTTCTCTGCATTGCTTTTGTGGACACCAACTAAACACTGCCTGCAGTTCAGCCTGAAATCGTCTCACCGTTGGTCACAGCTGGAACCAAGAGCTCAGGATTTGTTCTTCATCCTTCATTTATTGTCAGGCAGGATCTGGGCCAAACGCTTTAGTTTGGGAGAACTTTAAATGTAGAATTAAGTGATTTAGGTTTAGATTTATTTACTTCCTGGATGAACTGCTGGTCACATGATACGTCCAGGTGATGTCGAAACGTTGACATTCTGAGGATTTTTTCTGTTTTTACAGTCTGGCTCTGATAAATGCTTCTGATTTTATGTTTTTTATTCAAAAGAAAACATGCCTCTGAAATCTTTACGATGCTTCGTGGGTTAACAGACTTTCACGGCAGCATTCGGTCTCAACTCACCAGATCAGCGAGCAGCGGCTGCGGCAGCGTTTTCTCCAGCTCTCGCCGTCGGCTCAGGTTTCGCCGTCGCAGCTCGTTTCTGCGCAGTTTGTATTCTTCGTAAAGGCTCAGGTCTTTGGTCCAGGGCCGGACCGCCTGGCGAGGAGGGATACCAGGAGGCAGAACCGACAGGGAGGGCAGCGAGGCGGCCAGCGGAGGCAGCGGGTCTGACAGAACAGAACGGATCGATGTTTATTTCCTCTGTGATCACTGCTGCTGCTGCTGCACGTTACCGACAGAACCGAGCTGTTAAGAGCTCAACACCTCAGATCTACTCACAGCTGGTGGGACTGGCCGAGCTGGAGGCCGAGCTGTGGGTCATCTGGCTTCCTGACAGTCTGGACCAGTCTGTCACCGAGCGCTGAGGCTGCAGGAAAACACACAAACATTTATGTGAGCTAACTAAAATGTTATTAAAATGACTCAACATTTGTCCAAAATGATTCAAGAACTGTCCAAAACAACACAACTGTTGAGCAAAATAACAAAATCTCAATCAAATGGTCTAAAATGAATAAAATTTCATCCAAAATGACAAATAAAATTGTCCAAAATGACTTAACAACTGAACAAAATCACACAACTGTTGACCAAAATAATAAAAATCTTAATCAAATTGTCCAAACTGAGTGAAGTTTTGTCTAAATCGACTCAAACATTTTCCACATTTTGACAACCAGCTGTTTAAATCAGCAGCACAAACATCTGAATGAAGATAAAACTTGTTCCAAACAGTTTCTTTAACTTGTTTTCTGCTCTTCACTACACGACCTCCACCACAGAACTCTCTCTGAACTATTCCAGACCCACAGCTCCAGACTCACCTGAGACTCTGGAGGAGGACTTTGCTTCACCTGACAGTCCAGCAGCAGAGTCTCCATCACCTGCTGCTCCTCCTCCGGCTCCTCCTTAATGCAGATCACCTCCTCTTCCTCCTCCTGCTTCACCTGAGACACAAACACAGGAGACAACTGAATAAATTCTCCCCGCGTGGTTTTGGTTAACGATGCCCTCTGATCCAGTTCAAACAGAACCATCTGATCCACTCATCAGACTCA